GAGGGCCAGGCCCACCATCCATCCCCACAAGCCCTCTGTGCCTACCACAGGATGCAAATCGGATGCCTACACATGCCCAAGGGCTCCCCATCACCTTCCAGAGTGAGCCCAAGCTCCGGGGTGGGGGTGGTGGCGGAGGAAGGCAAGCATCCACATGACCTGGCCAGCCCATCTCCTGCACCCCTACTCCAGCCATGCTGCAACAGAGACCTCCCAGAACATACCACTCTCATGCCTCCATGTACCTGCACACACTCCTGCCTAGATTGTGCTCCTCACTTTGCTGTTAGATAAATGAATAAACCCTTCCTGTCCTTCAAGAACTGGCTCACATGCTACCTTGTCTAAGAATTCTACCCTGTGCCTCCCCTCCCCTCAGCCCTGGGGGTGCCCTCACCCTGCCCAGGGGCTCCCCCAAAGGAGCATTTATCCTGTGATAAGGATGGTGCATCTGTTGGTTTGGGTTGCCCCCCTCTTTATTTTTTTATCCGAGCACATAGCATGCTCTTCCTGATGATAGTGGATATTTAATAAATGTTTGGTGAATGAGTGAGGACAAAGGAATAACCCACCCTAAACCCACAGGGCCGGCACCTCCGAGGCACCCTCCCCTCCTCTCTTACTCCCTTGCAGGTGGTAACAGGCCACACACCTTATTCCCCACCCCCTCCGGGCTGCCCAGCACACCACCACCTTGAAACACTCAGAACATCTATGAGGCACTGAGCTTTGGGTCTGGAAAGTCTGGCTTTATATACCTGAAGCTCATTCAGACTCTAAGCAGGGACACTCTACGAGCCCTCTGCTTCCCTCTTGACGAAGCCCGGCCAGAGGGGCAGGACAGCTGCCCGGGAGGTGCGTGACAGGATCGCACTGGCAGCCGGGCCAGGAAGCTGACCTCACACGACTGGCCTCGTGGGGGATCCTGGGAGCACACGCAGAACCGCTCGAGTTGGAAATCAGGCTTCCCGAGCCCCGGCTGCTTATGACAGGATGTCCCATGATTGGAACAATTGGCACAGGCCAGCGACCCCCTCCTGTGCAGCTGAGGTCTCCCCCATCCACTGCCCCGGCAGGATCACCCAGGGCACCCGGCCTGGCCCGAGCACCACCGCCTTCTTTCCTTCAGCCCCCACCAGCCGCGCCTCTTGGTACATGACCGCATCACCTCCGCCCTCTCACAAGACCACCGCGCATAAAGCACAGAGTCCCCACATCTGTTAGCTCTCCTGAAGCTCACAAATGCCCATGAAGGAAGGAAGGCGCGGGTGTTATCCCTGTCTGGCACATAGGGAAACTGAGGCCCAGAGAAAGGAAGTGGGAGGTGTTGCCTGGCGGCTGGACTCATGGCTTCTTCCGACTCCTGAACTGCACTAGGCAGAGGGCCTGCAAACAGTAGGTGCTCAAGTAGTGCATAAGAAAAGACCGGATGGAAGGAGGGGTTAGGTCAAATGTCCTTTCCATCCCCCACCCAAGCCTCTGGACCTCCAAAGCTGCCTCTAAAACAAAATGTTCCTTCAGATGTTCTCTCCCACCCCAGCTAATCCCAAATTCGTTCCTAATGTGAGTGAGGAAGGGGGAAGGGCTCGCCCCCATCACTTTACACACGAAGCAACACTGCTACATTCATCCAGCACCCAGTGAGCACCCGGTACCTCACCAAGTGTCAGGGGTAATTACTGCATTTAATCCTCAAAACACTCCTACGAGAAGGTGTACTTCTACTCATATTACACGCAGGAAACTGAGGCACAGGAGCTTATGTGACTTGCCAGGGTCTGAACCCAATTAGTTAGCATCCGGAGCAGCCTCTGGTCATCCTCAAACTTGCCTTCAGGAGAAAGCCTGAATGGAAAGTGGCCGAGTGGCTTGATTTTCAGCCTCTTGTCCTCCAAAAGCTAAGGCTCGCATCTAAAAATGCACCGCCATTCATATGGGCCAGAGTAAAATGCCCTTCAAGAAAGGAAAAGGTGTCTTTTTCATTTGCTCTGCTTAGCATGACCACAGCCAGCAGCAGACTGCCCCCCACATGCTGCTGAAGCTCCCAAGGACAGGAGACACCGGCAACTTGAAGAGATCGTTGGGCTCGTGCCTAGGTGCAGGGTGGCCCATTTTATGAATCATTTTATGATTCACTCTATAAATATGTAGCGAGGACCGACTCTGGGGCAGGCATTGTTCTAACTTCTGAGACTCCGCTAGTGAACTAAACAGACAAAAATCCCTGCCCTCCCAGATCTTCTACTTTAGCGAGGGCTAAATAATAAAGAAGATAAATAGGCAAAGCACACACGTAGGTTTTAGATACTGGGTAGATGCTGAGAAGAAAAGGGAACCAAAGAAGGGGGATAAGAAATGCTGAGGTAGAGGGTGGCTCAGCTGGTTAAGCGACTGCCTTCGGCTCAGGTCATGATCCTGGAGTCCCTGCATCGAGTCCTGCATCGGGCCCCCTGCTCGGCAGGGAGTCTGTTTCTCCCTCTGACCCTCCCCCCATCTCATGTGCTTTCTCTCTCCTTCATTCTCTCTCTCTCTCAAATAAATAAATAAAATCTTAAAAAAAAAAAAAAGAAAAGAAATGCTGAGGTAGAGACTGAAATTTTAGACAGGGTGACCAGGGAAGTCCTGACCAAGAACTTAACCTTGAATAAAGACGAAAAGGAAATGAGGCCAAAATCTGTGTGGATATCTAGGTAAAGAAATGTCCAGGCAGAGGGAAGAGCAAGTGCAAAGGTCCTGGGGCCGCAGCATGCCTGATGTGTTCCAAGGACGCCAGTGAAGTCAGAGAAGTAACAGAGAGCCAGGCACACCTGAGAGAAGCCATTGCAGGGCTTGGAGCAAAGCAGTGACATTAGCACATCACTGGTTGGCTGAGGGGTGGAGAGAGGCTGCAAGGATAATCTCACAGCTTCAGCCAGAGCAACTGAAAGAATACTGCCATTTCCTAAAGACGGGAAAGTAAGTGGCAGGGACAGACATTGGTGGAAGGGGGGGTAGGGATGAAGGGGATATATATAAGGAGCTTAATTCTAAATACCTTTAACTTTGAAAGGCCCACATTTGAGATGTCGAGCAAGCAATTATATAAGTGAGTCTTATCATTCAAGGGAAAGATCTAGACTGGATTGCACATATAAATTTGGGAGTTGTCAGAGTAGAGACGGTACTTAAAGCTATGACACTGCATGAGATCACCCGAAAAAGAAAAATGAGGATGGATTAAAAAGAGAGAGAGAAAAGAGGCATGTCAGGCATGGACCTATGAAAATGTTCTCCCAGGAGCCACCCTCTACAAAGTGAAGCTCTTGTAACAAGGTCTCCTCTTCACTACGGCCCCCTTCACCCCTTCCACACACACCCAGCACACGTGTGCAGACACGCACACACAGCACTTCCTCTATTTCTTGGTGATGTCATTCTGCTGAGTGAGAAGGAAATTCTCATTGAGGATACTATCACCTACTGAGAAAGTAATCCGTGGAATGGAGAAAAAGTGACCTGGTCACCGAGACGACAGCAGTGAGCCTCACACAGCGGGCCAATCACACAGGCTGCAGGGTTTGCAGGTTGCAACTCCAGTCTCTTCAATTGGTGTGACCTCAGGCAACGCATTCGCCCTCTTTCTTATGTTAAATAGGAATAACTTGGGCTCTGTCAGGGGCAACAAACAGTCCGGTGATATTTGTTAAAGAAATGAGGAATGAATGAATGGTAAAAGCAACATACAAAAGAGCCTGACTCACCGCAGCAGATCAATAAATACTGTCAAATGCTAAATGAAGACAGTGGGCCTTCTATCTACTTGTCTTTCCCTCCTTCTTTTGTCATTTTATCCCTTTCCCTTTCCTGGCTGTGACGCAATTTCAAAACCATGTATTTTTACCGGACCATACTGGTTACAAAGCTTTGCCTTCTACATTTTCTCAAATTTTCAACCTCACAGCAGCCTTACAAGGGCAGGAAATATAATCCCTCTGTCACAAAGAAACTGCAACTTGGGACAGAAAACAGCCTCCAAACTCCAGGTACATTTTAAGGCAGAGACAACAACAAAAACACTGCATTCAGCCCAAGGGTGGGGCTCCTGTGTTGCCAAACCAAACCTGCCTAACATCCTGTTGGGTGCGTAAAAGGGCAGGTGAGGGAAAGACCCAGAAGCTCAGGGGAAGGGAAGGTATTTGTTTGGGGTCACATGAATAGTCCATTAAAAAAAAAATGGGCACAGATCCCTGAGCCCTCCTTGTCCCACACCCACGGACCTGCCCATCCCAGTGGCGTGGTCAAATAGGTCACGCCTTCCAGATCACCAGCTTCCAGGCCATCTCTGGGAGCAGGAGGTGGACACCGAGTTGGTGGGTTGGGAGACGCTGGGGTGAGGAGGCTATGGGGAAGGAGGCAGCATGGTGGGGCGCAGGCAGAGATGAAATCTGGAGGCAAATGAGAGACAATAAGCAGAGAGAAGCAGGTAGATGGGAGTCAGAAAGGAGGGAGAGTAAAATGGACAACAGGGGAGACACAAACGGAGAACTGCAGAAAACAGGGGATGTGGGGGATCAGGTGGGAATACAAAGGCAGGAAAGTCGGGAGCACTGAGAAGGGCACAGGAAGGCAATGGGACAGTCAATGCGTCCCAGAGTGAAAACTCAGTTGGAGGGAGACGGGGATGGGATGACCAAGGAAGTCAGTGATAGAGGGGAGGCACACAAGGGAGACAGGTACTAAGGAGGGACCCAGGGCCGAAGCTGGCGTCCCTGGGGAGGTCACAAGTTCGAAATGAGACAAGAGCTGTCACAGGTGGAAGTCGGGGACGCTGAGGGATCAAAGGGCGGAAGCTGCGGGCACTCAGAAGGTCACACAAGGGTCAATGGAGGACACGACTAACTATCGGGGAACACAAGGGAGGTCTGAAGGAGGGTCGGGGTGGCGACCCCCAAATCTGGGGCGCCGAGGAGGTTTGGAGAAGGGCCCCCCCCAGGCCCCGCCTCCCCTGCGCCGTCACTCACCTCGGCTTACTCAGCACTTCTACTTCCTCCTACTTCCGCAAACAAAGGATGCCGGCCCCACGTGACGACCCGGCCACCGCCCTCCGCCAATTACTGAGGCCCGTCCTCCGGCCGCCGCTGGGGCCCCGCCCCCGCGCCGCGATGGGGGCGGGGCGCGAGGAAGGCGGGGGCGGAGCTCCGCCATGTTTTCTAACTGCCCAATGGAAGGGGCTCCCAGCGCCGAGGGAGGCCGGGCTTCAGGCTGGAGCCAATCCTCCGCGGCGGGGCGCGGCTACGTCTGTGCGGGGCGGAAGGTCCGCGTGCCGGCTCGTTGGCGGACATGTTGATGAGGGGCGGGAGTCTCCTCCTCCGCCTTCCACCTCCAGAAAAGGTCTGGAGGTCTGGAGGCCTGGAGCCAGAACCTACTGTTAATGACGGCTCGAAAGATAAAAGTGAAACCAGCAGAGACACAGGGCGTGGCAGGGAGGAACCTGCTTTGATTTTTGCTGGGGACCCCCACATTGAGCAAATAAGAATATGGGACGCCCAGTTAAATTCGAATTTTGGCTCAACGACCAATATTTTCTTAGTTTAAATAAGAAACACTAAGTACGGTTGTGCTAGGAAAGTACTCGTTGTTATCTGGCAGGCCTACACCAACCTGATCTCAGGAAATATCTTAGCACTTTTAGCAGAAACGTGGGCAAATGACTTGGTCTCTGCGAACTCCTCATCCTTAATAAGGATGCTGTGACCTAGAGATAAATTCATCTCTGTAGCTGCACATAGTGGGATTTCAACAAATGGTCGTTGTTATGATTAGTAATGCTGCGAAAGGCACACTGGCCAGCGGGTTGTAGTGACAGCTTTGCTTCTGCTGAGCGGATCATATCAACTAACACCCATACAGAGCTTCACCCCTTTTCAAAGTGGTTTGACTTCACATTCGTCATCTCTGAAGTGTAGCTGCTGTTGTCTGCCCTTTACAGGTGAGGAAACTGTTCCTTAAACTAAGGTTTGAATTTTGCTCAAGAGTTTGAGCTTTGAGTTGAGAGAACTGGGTGAAGACTCAGACTTTTCACTGAAACTATTTTGCCCTCCACACCCCAAACAAGTGAAGTTAGGACGATGGTTATCAGGGAGCTTTCAAAAGGCCAGGCATTCCACCCTCTACCGAGAAAACACGGAGGTTCAGCAGGCTGAGTCCCATTCTTCAGCAAACACCTTGGTATTCACAGTGGGTCTGCAAGACAAGTTTGGCAATACAGACACACAACTGAATCTGAAATGCAGCAAAGGCTGAGGGAGGCTGGATGAATTGTAAAAAGCCCTCAAAGACCCACGAAAGAAATTTAATCTCAGGGCCTCATGAAGTCGAGTGTCCCTCCCCTAGGTATTTCCGGTGAAAACTGTGAAATGAGTGGGTAAAGCAAGAGGTGAGGTACAGGGCATTATTAGGAAGCATTGAATGAGCAAACAATGGGAAGGGAGGAGGCAAAATAAGCATAATGGGATGCACTCTGTTGGCTTTCTGTTGGATTTTTGCATTGGAGCCCTTCAAGTCAAAGAGTTGCTCTTGCGGGGCTGTGCCAGAAACATCTCAGAGGGGCTTGCAGCTACAAACATCTCAGAGCAAAATGTCTGCTTTCTAGGAGCCCAGAATCCAGAGAGTCAGACTAGACCAAGTCCCCTCCCTCAGAGTTGGCTAGAAATTTAACTAACTGGGGCTCCTGGGTGGCTCAGTAGGCTAAGTGTCTGACTCTTGCTTTTGACTCAGGTCATGATCTCAGGGTCATGAGATCCAGCCCCACATTGGCCCTGTGCTCAACCAGCTCGGAGTCGGCTTCAGATTCTCTACCTCTCCCTCTGCCCCTCCCCCTCCCGCACACTCAACGAGCACACGCGCTCTTCTCTCTCAAATAAATAAATCTTTAAAAAAAAAAAAAAAAGAAATTTAACTAGCTGACATGCTAATGGTGCAGTTTACACTCTTACCTTGTTGGATCCTCACCGCAGTGCTGAGAAGTAGTACTCTTGCCCCCACTTTATTGTTGAAGAATCCTACAGGTTCTGCAAAGGGAAATGATCTCCTGAGTCACGTGTCAATAACAGGCAGAACCAGGGGCGCCTGGGTGGCTCAGTCAGTTAAGTGTCAGCCTTCAGCTCAGGGCGTGGTCCTGGGGTCCTGGGATTGAGCCCCATGTTGGGCTCCCTGCTCAGCTGGGATCCTGCTTCTCCTTCTTCCTCTGCCCCTCCCCGCTCTGGCGCTCTCGCTCTCTCGCTCTCTCTCTCTCAAATAAATAAAATCTTTAAAAAATAATAAATAAATGAATAAAAGGCAGAATCAGAATCGGGACCTGCCTTGTCTTTTCTTTTCCTGCTCCACAGAAGTACTCACTATGTGCCAAGCAATGTTCTTGGTGATGAGGAAACCACAGTGAACAAAACAGACAAAAATCCCTGCCCTCCTGGTGTTTGCAGTCTTGTGGGGGGAAAGACAGATGATAAACAAGATCAAGTCAAACATAGAGTGTGTTTTGCTAAAATCTTCGGGTGAAGTGTCATGGTGTTAGCATCTTTCTTTTTTTTTTTTTAAGATTTTATTTATCTATTTGACAGACAGAGACACAGCGAGAGA